TCTTTACCATCCCTGGGATCTGAACGCCCACCCACGTGTTTGCCGTGCGTGGTGTCCCGTATGCCGGAAAGGGGGATCCTGGTAGTTGAGGGGCAACATAATGTCCCCAACACACTGCTTTGGCCCTTGCTTCGGATAAACGGGAGGCTCAAATCAGGCTCCGTTTGAGTCAATCGGCTGGTCGTTGAGTCATTCTTGACCTCAGCTTGGAGTCAACCGATCGATGCAGACCGGGCAGACATGTCAGACAAGATGTGCTCTTCTTGACTGCATTGTGAGGGTATAGCTCCTGGGAAACCCTGGTGTGACGGTCTATGGAAGTACTCCATGTGACGGCATCCCCTTGTTGGGCCCCATGGTGGGTGGGGTCACTAGGTGCTGAATATTTTTTCTTTAATTATGGATTCCAAAAATTCAAAACGTTCTTGTGCATCAACAACAAAAACAAACAAAAAAATCTCCAGTAATCCAGCATACTTAGTAGTGCATGCAACTGGAGAGAAAAACCCTTGGCTAAAGCTTCTCCTTTCTTGATTCAAAAATTGTTTGAATCGACCATTGGACCGTTGAAAAAGATACAAAAATTAAGATCAGGACATTTACTGGTGGAAAAACAGCTTCCCCACAACAATCGGCAAAACTTCTGGAAACAAAGACCCTAGGAGAACTCACTGTCACCCCACATATGAGCCTAAACTCATCACGTGGGGTAATATCTGAGATCGATCTGATATCTGAAGATGAATCAGATATTCAGATTGGCCTTTCAGACTAAGGAGTCACTGCTGTCCAATGCATTTCCATTCGTCGAGATGGCAAGTTGATTCTCACCAAACATCTTATTTTGACATTTAATAAACCGACTTTGCTATCTGCTATTACAGCAGGTTATCTGCGCTGCCCAGTTCGCCCATATGTTCCAAATCCGCTGCGTTGCTTTAAATGTCAGCGATTTGGACATTCCCAAACATCGTGCCGAGGGAAAGGCACATGCGCACAGTGTGGAACTGAAGGTCACGAGAGTACTGAGTGTACCACTACTCCATGCTGTGTGAATTGCAAAGATTCCCATCCCGCCTACTCTCGAAAATGCCTAGCATGGCAGAGAGAGAAAGAGATCCAGCAAGTAAAAACCATTAACAACATACCATACCCGGAGGCTCGGCGAATGGTCACTCAAAGCACAGCAGTGAAACAGAAAACATTTGCTTCTGTGTTGAAATCCACAAAGACATGTGGGGTTCAAACTGATATCTCTGTCTCCCCAAGTGAATCTCTTACTCGCCATGCGAAATGTTTAATACTCCCGTCTACGCAAACACCAGAAAAGGAGATTACAAAAGGAAAAACACCCCTGCCTAAAACAGGTTAATTACAAGAAACCTGGGTTCTAAAAAGGCTAGTAAGAACCCACTAAACAAACAGAGACTGAAAGCAGCTCTCTCTAAATCTAAAAAAATCAGAGGCTCCGTCCATGAGTGAGTTCTCTGATATCACTGATGAAGAGAATAATATGGAGGTAATCCAACCAACGTCGCCTCCTAAAGGAAAATCATTAGTTAAACAGAAGAGGGACACTTTTTCTAAGAATGCTGCCTCAAACACATAATGGATTATAAAATAATCCAATGGAATGGTGTAAGGAACCAAGTCTGAGCTTTATTTTTATTTTACTTTTATTTTGCTTTCATTATATTTTGTTTGGGGCTTATGTTTAGTTAAGACGAAGGTTTCCTCACCATTCACCTTAGTAACTTAAAAATAGAAGAAAAACCAACTCACCGACGAAAGAAAAGCGCCGTAGAAAAACTCGCGCACACTTGCGCTTCCCAAGCGGAAAAA